CTCCCGAAGAGCCAGCGCGGTGAAGATTTGACGGATACCATCGTCCACGGAGCCCTTCCAGCCCGTGTAAGTTGCATCGGACAGCAGCTTGTAGCGCGTGAAGAAAGCCTCCTTGGCTTCGCGGAAACAAAAGCCCGCGCGGCGGACGCGCACGTTCTCAGTCAAACCAAGGTACTGGACCTGGTGCTTCAGAAGCTCGTCATCCATCATTTTGGGCGCCTTTTGGTGGTTGGGCTTGATGCAGCGCACGTAGCTAGGAATCTGCAACAAAGAATTTTTGAGGCATGATGAGTCATTTCGCATACCTCGGACGCGGTACCATGAGTTAACGATTGCCACGACAAGGCCGCTGCGACAAAGATGGGTCAGACTGAACAACCTTGGTGTTGAGAAGCTCAATCATTTTCTTCATCGAGTCCACAAAGCTCTTGCCCGCAGTGGGGGGTCGCTTGGAAGCGCCAGCCCAAGTCTTTTCATCGCCCTCTGGGAAGCAGGCCTGCGTCACGTGCGTCAAATTGGTGGAATGAGCGAATAAAGCAACCGCTTCGCTTTGGAGTGCGTTTGGTTTGTGATGGGTTAAGAACATTAAAAGAAAAAAAAAACAGATCATGTAGCAACGCACCTTGATCACGGGGTTGGTGCTCTCAAACATGAGGCGGCTAATGTCCTTGAACAGAGTGTCGGTGTTCTTCTCAAGGAAGCCCGTCACGGTATACGACACGGTGCCTGCGTAGTGAACCAGCATAAAGCTGCGCTCAGGCACGGACTTGTCGCCTGGACCTGTGCGCGCCTTGAAGTGCTCGTGTGCCCCAAAGGCGGATGAGAGCTTCTCGAGCCACACGTCATCCGATTTGTCGCCGGGACGAATAGACTCCTCGTCCAGCAGAGCCACAATGCCCTTGGGTCGGCCCTCGATGAGATCACAGATGATTTTGTTGTTGAAGTAATCGATGGGCGTCCACTCGATGCCCTCGGCCAGGTACTCATCTTGCTCTGTCTTGATAACCAGCTCAATGAAGAGTTGTTGCAGCTTCTCGTTGCAGTAATTGATGCAAAACTGTTCAAAGCTGTTGGACTTGAAGATTTCAAACCCGTAAATGTCCAGGCCAATGACAGCCTTGATGGCATTCTGCGGAGCGGCAATGGCCTTGTTGATGCGCTCATAGACCCACTTGAAGAGGCGATCGTAGAGTGCCTTCGCCATGGCGTCGCGAGCATCGCCCGCCTGGGTCGGTGACAGATCAGAAACCACTTGCTGGTTGTTGACGATGACAGTGTTGTGGGTGAGTGCACGATTAAATTGATCATCGGTACAACCCAGCTGTTCGTAGCAAAGAGGCAGGCAGGTGATACGAGTACACGGGTGGTGTGAGGAACTGGCGACGCTGATTTGAAGCAATAAGGCCGGTGCCAATGCAGGGGATGGAGGGCAGACTGCGAACAAGCAGGTGTTTGAATGACGTACCAGCTTGAGCAAGGCTGGATCGACTTTGGTAACCTTGGCACCTTGGCCTTGGGCACCAAACTCAGCTTCACCAAGGAGAATGATGGCGGCAACGGCCGCAAAGAGGGATTCCTTTTCATCAGCTAGGTAATGCAAGGCAGGGGCCAACAGAAGGTCAGCGGAACAATCAGCAGCGCAGCGCCACCGCGATGTGTACCAAACATGTGGCCGGCAGAAGAAACAGACGAACCGGAGAAGCCGATAAAGTCAAAGCCCTGATCCACCTCCTTGAACCAGTTGGCGTCGTTCATGCCAGACACGGAGGTGGATTGTCCTTGGTTGAGATAGCGGTAGGAATTAGCGGCGCCGGTCAGGCCCAGCTGCTTGCCCTTGCCGCTGGCGAGGAGCTGGTAGAAGATGTGAAAGTTTCTTTCACCCTCGCCTTGACGCACCACGCGGGCCTTCTCGAGCAGGTAGGTGGTGATGACACCTGTAGGCAGAGGTCATGCAGGATGCGAAGCACGGGTTCATCAGGGGGGGCTAAGCGTGAGGATAAGAGTCGAGTGATCAAGCGGCACTTACCACCCGACGGATCACCACTGAAGCTGAACTGGATGTCCATGTACTGTGCAGTTTGATTGTGCGCGGGGTGAGTGGAAGAATTAATCTGCCCCCAAACCGACACGAACGTCGCGGCAAAGGGCCCAGACAGAGACAACACGAACCTTGCCAAAACGAGACGAGTTGTCGTTGCGATTGGTTTTGGCATTGCCAAAGGCCTCCAGGACTGGGTTGGTGTTGAGCAACTGTGGACATGTGTTTGAGTCGCGACATGAGCAAAAATGGACGACGAACGCATGCGTGCGATGCCCAATCCTAGAGCTGATGACAAGGCGTCGAAACCATTGCGGAAAAAGGCGCAAGCACCCTCACCTTGTTTTTGACCGCATTCACTTTGTCGCTGCTACCAGACACGGCAGCAATGTATTGCATGATCTAGGCCCAAAAGCGATTCAGTCGGGGACATGTACAAGGTGAGGGTTGGCGGTGAGCTGGGAGCAAGAATGGGCGGGACAAACTTTTTTGCTGCTCTCTGTCTTGCCGGCCCCTGATTCGCCGGAGATGATCACGACCTGATCCCGACCACGATACTTCATGTCATTGAAGGCGTTGTCAGCAAGGGAGAAGATGTGGGGTTTGAGTTTAGGGTCAAAGGCGCTGCGGCCGCGATACCTGCCAGGCACGTGAAGCCAAGGGGTTAGACAGAGCTTTAGTGTTTTTTTAGACAGTTGACGTGGTCGGGCGCACGATCAAGTGGTGAGAGACACGCACTCCTCAATGGTTTTGTCGTCGTAAATGTTGAGGGACTTGAACGGGTTGACGGCGATCACCTAGAGCGGGGATGGACCGAGCTGGATCAGATGACTCGATTGACCCTAGTCCCGCATTGCCGGAGAGGCAGCAGAAGACGAGTTGAAAAGATGATATAGGGTGACGTACGACGTTGCCAATGTATGAGTAGATGATGTCATCGTCGTAGAGCTCTTTGATGTTGTCGATGACGGCTTGCTCATCGACGTTCTGCAAGAGGATGAGATCGTAGACGGCTTGCTGCTTGGCATGGAAGGAGCCGCGGCGGCGCTGATGCACAGACTCGCGGCCAGGGCGAGAGCCCTGCAGGCTGTGACCTGAGCCACGGATCTGCGAGTTGGCTCGCTTCAGTTTTGACGGCGCCATAATGGACTAGCGCAGAGGTACGGATTGGCAGAGCTGGAGAGCGAGCGATGCAGTTGAAACAAGAGGAAGCCACCGGTGAGATGGGGTGTCCATTGGTGCCCGGGGTGCGAGAGGTTCGAGCGCCGATGAGATCGATCATGCCACACACCTGAGTCGTGACGATACAAAACTTGTGTGACACGCGCTGATCGGTGACGGCAGTGGCCTGTGTCGGACGGAAAGAAGGCGCAGTGATCGACGCTGTCAATCGCCTGATGTTGGCAGCTGAGAACGGGAAGAGCAAGCTGAAATCCACACGCAGAGAAAGCCGGGCAGAACAAAAATGAACTGATGAAGATGGGCGGAGGGGGGGGGTAAGAGAGCAGTGATAGGGGTGAAGAAGGAAGGGAGTCAGTCAATGGCACCACCGTACCGAAGCGTACCGAACCGAACCGTAAAATAATGCCCAGTGAATGGATCCGACAGCGTTTGAGGTCCCGCCCCTTTCGTCGTCGTCAACAACAAGCTTGGGGATGATGACTATTTTTCTTCTCCTAAGCACTACGACTACAGTACTACTGTTGTTGGTGGTATAGACACTTGAGCTTGTAGCAAGGCGGGATCGAGGAATAGTCGGCTCGATTGTGGTTGTGGCAGACTGATCTGCTGGCTCGCCAGCGCCTGTTCTGCCCTCGAGCTGCCGTTTGACACACACATATGTATCCGGATGTATTACACAGACGTCCGTAAAGAGGGGGAGGGGGGTACGCGCAGAGCGGACGAGGGAACAGTCCTATCGCTCGCGCGCTTGTGTCACCATCAATTGTAAGACTAGGAGACAGGGAGAGGGAGATTGGGAGACTGGGAGACTGATTCGGTTCCTTTGGAGACTCGGGATTGGAAGACTGGAGGGGACTTGACGGCGATGGCGGCAAAGCGCCCACAAAAGGGCAGCCAGAGGAGCGGGATGGGATGATGGGCACGCGAAGCTGGTCATGCCTGTTGCCTGACGGAGGGCTGGATGGACACTGTCACGCTGTCGTTATTGAAACTTGAAGAATGTCCACACCAGTGGAGA